GCTTGATAAGTTCTTCCTTAGTTTTTTCTTTTGTTTACATTTATTTTCTGTCGATACTTTTCTTTTCAACCTATTTATCCCCAAACTCATTAACGATAGATTTGTCGAACGATGATTCAATAACCAATCTCTTTGGACACGATATAATGTAACCTATATTACCCGATAAATTAATAACTTATTTTTTGCTTGCCGCTCTACCGCTTCAGCATCCAACGATCCTCCGTATTCCATGCTGAAAAAGTAGCGAGACAATTATTCCTCTTCTATATAAATACGAGATGTCGTCATTTCAGGGAACAAGTTTCAAACACAATTTGAATACCCTCATCATTCACATACCGACTTGAACATCAAAGTGCTAATTTTACAGGTACACCCTTGCTCCATCACATCGAAAACTCTTATTAGCCGCAAGTTCCACAAATCTACACATTTATGGTTCTGAAAAAGAACATATTCAACAGAGTCTTAGAAATGAAAATGAAATTAAAACAAATAAAAATGAATTTGACAAAATTGAAAGATAAAATAATAGAAAATAAAAAGAATGTTATGATATATTTTGTTTAACGTTGAATTTTACAAAATTACTGTAGCTTTTCACATTTAGGCAGAAGCTACATTTTAGAACTTTTAAAAAATCACAATAGAGTGACACTTGAACGTGAATTTAGAGTAAATTAATCAAATAAAACTCTAAATTAACTTAAAATCACAAAACTCTACTATCAAATTGGATACCAATTAGTAATTTGTACCAATAATTTAATCAAATAAAACTAAAAAATGGCGCAGAAAGTAATAATAATTCCCACACTCTCAATTTGGGCGGAAATTCATTTCCCACTTTTTCTTCTTCTAATTGGAAAAAAAATCGCGTCGAACACGAAGAACTGAAAACCCTATATCGGCGCAGCCTGCTACCCCGACCGCACACCGACTTCCTACTCCGGCGACCCTCCGCTCTACCGGAGTTTGACTTCTCAGTCTACCGTCATCTATTTCCGCCGTTCATTGTTAGTAAACGTGGTTCTCCGAACTTCTTCAATTTTTGCATTTGCTACTTAGATAGATCGTTATCTTTCTTTATATCCTAATTTTCATTCATACTAAGATACTATAATATCAACACTCGGTTGTATTACTATTACTATACTGATTCAGAAATTGAAAAAGAGAGGGAAAAATATGCAGATTCGTGTGAAGTGCAATTAGGGTTTGATTAATGGTCAATTTGGTTAGCTTTTTTTTCTTTTCAAGTGGGGGGTTAAGCCTACAGAGTTTTTTAAATAGAGAGTAATAGTGAATAAAATTTGTTTCGTATTAAAATGGAAAGATTGTGATTTTATATGGACTAACACTAACAGTGTAAGAGATTATTGTATTGGATAGTGAGGGTGTTATTTTGACAATGACATGGATAAAATCTTTCATTTACTGCTCTATTATTGGATTCCTAATTTAGTATTTAGTATAATTGTAATTTTAAGAGTAAAAACTATTTAATGATATTCTTAATTCTCAATTATCTCAGCAAAATTTTGAAGGATTACTAAGATAAAGTTGCTTAGTTTAATCAAGTTAGACCTACAATTAATATCACTTTTGTTTTAGTCAAATTACTAGGAAATATTAGACAAAATTTCACAAGTGTCTAGTGTTTTGTTCATAAAAATGAATAAAGTAATTCTGGGTTGACGTTACTAATGAAAAAAGCAGATCAATTTTGTCTCTTATACTATAAACGTCCATATTTGGATTCTGTATAGTTACTGTGTGGTTAGTTTTTTTATCTTTATAGTCAAATGTCAAATTAACTGTGAAATTGTTTAGAGATGATTTGGTGAAGGTGTAATGTGAATCAATCAATCTCAAATCTATGGTTGATATTTAATAGTATGCGTAACTGAGTTTTCTTCTAATTGAATCCGAATTTGTAAGAGTTTAAGATATAATCTTTAGGATGATTGGAATTCACTATCACTTTTCATCTTATTAGGAAGAAAGAGACTAGTATTGTGTCCATTCTTTTGTTGTTCAGGAAGTTTACACTTAAACTATTGGGTACCGTGAACTGACTGGGTCAAAGGTTTCCTTGAAAAAGCCGTTGTTAGTGCTCAAGAAAGTCAAGCATATGGATGGAGAAAGTTGTAGTGATGTTGAGTTACATGTTGTTGGAATTATTTGACACAAGATTCTGTTCAATACCGGACCAAAGGCCTTCATTTCTAGTAAGATCTGAATGTTCTTTATTAACATTATCCGTTGTTGTACCATGTCCTTTAATATATATAATTGATGATACTTCTAAAGGAGAATGATTTTAGTGCCGTAGACCTAGCCCTGTTTTACATTTCTCTGTTATTTCCCCTCCATCTGTACTTCCATTCAGCTTCTTAATTATTGTTTCTATGGCTAACAAATAAGGATTATGTTTTATGCTTAATGTTCTTATATTTATATGAAATGTTATAACATTTATAATTTATAACTGAAGCATTATTAACATCTCACTATATTGATTCAATGTCAAATTACCAGGCCTCAATAAAATGATTAATTATAGAGTTCATAACAAGTAGTGGACGTGCCGGAGTGGTTATCGGGCATGACTAGAAATCATGTGGGCTCTGCCCGCGCAGGTTCGAATCCTGCCGTCCACGGATTTTTGATAGAATTTTTTGCAAATGAAGGAAGAAACTGAAAATAAAATCAAAAACGCTAGAAGGAGGGGTTGAACCTCCGACCTTGTGGTTAACAGCCACACGCTCTAACCAACTGAGCTATTCCAGCTATGGTTTTTAGAATTTGACTTGTAATTTTTTACATCAACACATTTCTCAATTTATGAATTAATTATAAGTTTACATGAAAGTGAAACTCAGCCTGCCATGTACTAGGCATCAAAATTTGTGTCAGGAATCTATTGAACCTATATTAAAATGCATATGAAAATGAAAGTATTGTAATAAAGTGTGAAAATTGTATACTTTGATGTGAGTATTGTCTTTGAATTGCTATCTATATTAGTGGAGGTTGAGAGCAATGTGACGGTTTGGGGGACAAACTGTTCTGGGGCTGTCCATAAGCCCTCTAAGTCTTCTTTTTACCACATGACTAGCACATACATGCAAGGATCCTCCGCATTCCACGCATGAAAGAAACGATCCTCCGCATTTCCACCTGAAAGATAGTAAGACTGTTATTCCTTTCTCCTATATATAGAGAATGATGTCAAATTTGTTAATAAACCAAATTTCTTTCTGGCATTTCCTTAAACACCTTTCTTGCACTGCACTTTTTTGGTAAACCTACATTGCATTTTTCTTCCAACAATCCTTAACAAAAAAGAAAGTATCCCTTGCCCAGCAAACCTATAATGCATCTTTCATTGTTTTGTTTCATTTCCATATGCCTATTTTCTTTTTAGCTACACTTCAATTTAATACCATGGAATTTTTGGGTTTTTGAAAAAAAGAGTTGCTGGTACATAATGCATTATGAGGAACAATGGGGAGTGTTGTTAAATAATAGAGTTGCAGAAATGGTAAAGCCATAAATCATCACATATTCTCTTCCATCTGGAGTAGCGTGTAAGATGAATTTAGTGTCATTCTTGACAACTCACAGTGGCTTGTTGGTAATATATGAACCATCAATTTCTGGAATGAAAACTGTGTGGTGTTCCTCTATACCTTAATCTAAACTAGTCTGCTACATTGTCATCCTTTGCAAGACAATGGTTGAATTGTTTTTGAAATTGGTAGAGGCAATTGAAACCAATTAATGAGAAGCATAGCAACATGTGCAAATGGTTCTGATTTTTCAACACTACTCAAGAGTAATATTCTTTCTATGTATTTCAAACTCAAAATATGTTGATAATGTAGAGGCCAATTATAGAAAGATCATTGAGTTGGAAAATGGCGTTTTAGTTTGTCTTAACTCTTAATCTCAGAATCCAAATTTTGTGCTCTATTATTATGTGCAAAATTAGTCATAGAGTGCTAAGAATTCTTCTTAAAGGACGGTAATGTACAATATGGTATACCAATTTAATTTCAATTTTTAAAGAGCTTAAAATGTCATAAATTCATTTCAATTAATAGAGCATTGTAAAAGATGTGTTATATGTGTTGCTGAGATAACGTGTCATCAATTTTAAAGAAATTTTCTAGGATTTTTGTGACTACCAATTTGTTCCAACAAAGTAGATGATGAAATAGCAGAGTTCATATTCCATATACCAACAATTTTGAAAACGATTTTAGTTTATTTTTTCTGATTTATTTCTGTTTTAGTTAGGTTGATTCATTCATGCAATTTTGTCATGATTAGTGTACAATTTGATATGATGTTAAGTTTAATAAAGAAGATGAATAATATTTCAAAATTTCTAAAGATTGAGTGTTGAGGGAGACTAGAAGTACATTAGGATATCTAATGTTTTTATGGGAAATTTGTTGTTTGTAACAGGTGTAGATATCATTTCTTGAATATCGTTTGGTGTCTGATGTTATCTATTAAGAATAGAGTTTCCATTATGCTTCCAGGAAGACTTTGGCGAGATTTAGTATCAACGGTCTGTAAGGGTGGATGGAAGTTGTCCATCTTTGTTGATTGTTCTCATTCCTATCCATTTTGTATAATAAAGTATATCCAATGATGCATTTTAATCGGTTGGTTTTCACTAATTTCAAATGTTTATATATATATATATATATATATATATATATATATATATATATATATATATATATATATATATATATATATATATATAGATGCACACGCTGTAATAAGCACCAATAATTTGATTGTGATGATGATAATAATTATTAATATGGTGTTTCAGGTGTAGTTGAATTGGTGGAGTTAAATGACTATTAGCCTCAAGAATAGGTTTTGGCACAAGCGTTCAACCGTTCTCGCTAGACTGCCTAATTATCTCAAACTGAGAATCGGTTATTGGCACTACCCAATTTCATACATCATTTATGGAGCATGAGGATTGGAGGTAAGCTTAAGAGTATCAATTATGTTGCAGGTATCAACACTAAATTTTACTTGATTATTTCTACTGGTAGCCCATACTATGTTGCACCAGAGGTTTTGCACAAGCATTATGGAATTGATGTTGATGTGTGGAGGGTCTCTGGGAATTGGGAAAGATATTTTTTGTTGTTTGAATGGGTTTGGTTGAATTTTGGGTATGAAAATGTGAAAGTGGATAGTTTAAGATATTGGGTAGGGAGTCACAGTATTTAATTGCTTCCAAACTGTTTGATATAATTCCTGTGAGGAATTTTCACTTGATGTAAGGTCTTGCACTAATGTTCTTCATGCTTATGCTCGAACCAGGAAGTATAAACGGACTATTGAGATATTTGAGAAGATGAGGGAGACTGGTCTTGATCCAACTTTGGTTACTTATAATGTTATGCTTGATGTTTATGGAAAATGGATTGGTCTTAGAATATACTTTTGGAGTTGTTGTATGAGATGAAGAGTAAAGGGCTTGAGTTTGATGAGTTTACGTGTAGCACTGTGATATCGGCTTGTGGGAGAGAGGGTATGCTTGATGAAGCAAGGAAGTTTTTTGCTGATTTGAAATTGAGTGGATATAGACCTGGAACCGTTACGTATAACTCTATGATACAAGTTTTCGGGAAGTCTGGAGTTTATGTAGAGACCTTGAATATCTTAAAAGAAATGAAGGATAATCATTGCGTGCTAGATGTTGTTACTTACAACGAGGTTGTGGCGGCGTATGTAAGAGTCGGGTTTCATGATGAGGGTGTTGCTGTCATTCATACAATGGCAAGCAGAGGAGTTACGCCGAATGCTATAACTTATACGACTGTAATAAATGCCTATGGTAAAGCGAGAAACGAGGATAAGACTTTGAAGGTGTTTGGTCAAATGAAGGAGTTGGGATGTGTTTCAAATGTACGCACATACAGTTCTGTTCTTGCAATGCTAGGCAAAAGGTCGAGACCAGAAGACATGATTAATATTCTCCATGACATGAAATTGAATGGATGTCTTCCTGAACGTGCAACGTGGAACACGATGCTTGTTGTATGTGGTGAGGAAGGTAAGCAAAAATACGTTAACCAGGTTTTAAGGGAAATGAAAATTTCTAGATATGAGCCTAACAAAGACACGTTCAATACATTAATTAGTGCATATGGTCGGTGTGGATATGAAGTTGATGTTGCGAAAATGTACGGGGAAATGATTATGGTGGGATTTACTCCATGCATAACCACATACAGTGCTCTTCTAAACACTCTTGCTAGGCGAGGTGATTGGAATTTTCATAACAAAAGTTACTTTTTGTTAGTTTTTCAGGCACTCGATGTTCCTATGGATAGGCTTGTCGAAGCAGCTGATTCGGCTTCAGTATGTTCTTCCTTTCTTTTCCTATTTTAATTGTGATTCAACATTGCTTCTGTCTTTGGCATTGATTTATTTTGAAGGCATTGAAACAACTGAATTAGTGGCTGACATGGAAAATCAAATAGCAAAAGCGAAAGAAGATGCTTTAAGCGGAAAAGATATATTGGACAAGGTTGATAAGTGGATGTCAGCATGTGAAGAAGCATAAATTTAATGAGTGGATGTAGTATCTTTTACAAAACTGGAATGCATCATAAATGTTGTCATCAAATCAGTGGGTATGTTTTGGTTTTCTTAATTTTCATCAGAGTGGAAATTGACAATTACGTTATGGTATTTATGTGACGACTCAGTTTAGACCGTTGATTTATTCATGCAATTGTGTCATGATTAGTGTACAATTTGATATGATGTTAAGTTTAATAAAGAAGATGAATAATATTTCAAAATTTAGAAAATCGGTTTTAGTGACCGTTTTTTCTGTCGCAAAATTGCTTACTAAATATCAATATTATACATCATCTGGCACGCCAGCGAAAACTAATGTCATTAGTGTTATTTGAACAAAAATAATTAATTTGATACGTTTTAAAATATTAAGAAATCAAAATACTCGTTTTAAAAGTTAAAAGACCAAATTGAATTTCAAATACAAGATAAAAAATCAAAAGTAATATTTAGTCTTTATAGTTTATATACATTTTTAAAATATATTTTATAATATGAAAAATTCATTTCTATTTTTAACAATGCTTTAAAAATGACATTTCAATTTATCGGCCTACTTCTAATGCGGTGTATGTAAATGTGAAAGATGCATAGAAAATTGTATACTCACTCCATCTTGTTAAATATATAATTTGTTGTGTCTGTAAATACTAGTTTCGACAGAGCCGAATCAGTGTGTATTCGACAAAGTTGAATGGAGTCTGTAACAGTTGTATATGTTGGATTCGACAAAGAGTCGAATACACCTTGTTGAAGCAGATGTTAGTTGGTTATTTTGAGAAATACTTTAAGTGCAATAAATCTTATTATAAATAGGAAGGTACCCTATTGTTGTATGGGTGAGAAAAAGTTGAATACAATTTTCTAGTTGAAAGAAGAGAGAGACTCTGTAGATTCTACTTTAACTTCTTCCCCTTTCTCCCAAAACCCTAATTACTCTTTTCTTCTCCAATTAACTTTCACGTATTTCTTTTCTTCTCAAATCATTGTGTACGAAAATCATCTTGCAACTAAGAAGTGACCGAGTCACTCGCGTGAAGAATGAGAAGCGATGAGCGTGAATCAATCAAGAAAGCGAGCGAGTCTTGTTCCGTAAAGAGGAGCGACTTCCCAACATCTAGTACCAGAGCATCAGTTGATTCTTGGAAAGCATAGAACAATGACTTCTCATCCGAGCAGTCATTTTTCAACAAATCTTCCAATCTTGAATGGTAAGAATTATGATAATTGGTGTAAGCAGCTGAAAGTTGTCTTATGTTACCAAGACATGTGGGATCTTGTGAAGAATGAAGTGAAAGTGCAGTCACAATATTGTATGGTATCAATTATGTGTTTTGATCTTTTAGTCAATTTTATATAGATATTATTAGTACTTGCGTATTTGTAATTTGATTCTATAATTGTTCGCTTGTGCTTCGGCTATTGAGTTGTTGAATCACCAAGGACCATCCTTGCTAAATTAATAAGTATCTTTAATCCTTGATAATATGTCCTTTTTGAGCTTACATAGTTACTACTTAGTAATTTCAATGTGTAGCTTGAATCACAAGTTAGAACTCTTAAATCTGGATTTTAAATCATTTAATTCATATCGAGTGTAATACATGGTTCGAATCACAAGTTACGTGTAAAATGGGATTTGCCTCTGGAGCATTTGATTCGAATCACAAATTGAACATGATTCGAATCACAACCTCATGAGATTCGAATCAAGTGCAAAAATTTATTTGAATTAAATGATTCCTTGAAGCTATATTTTAGCTCTGCTCAAATTGATTTGAATCACAATTTTCACTTGATCTGAATAAAAGCTTAAAGACCCATTTTCATCCTTGATTTAAATAGTTGTTTCTTTGATGAAAGTAACAAGTGAGTGAAACCTATGGGAGAAACTCATAGAGACAAAGAGTGATTTTGTCTTCTATTCTTAGTGTATCTACACCTATCACCATAATTCTTTATCTTCTTCATTAGAACAACTTCTTGATTATGAATTCATGTCAGATTCATTCTCCTTTTTGTTGCATCTTGTTCTTGTGTAATTTATGGTTGTGTTGAGTGAATTAGAGAGGGGGAGTTGATTAATCTTGACGTGTTGTTCATGATTAATCAATATCTTGATAACAATTAAAGTCAAGGTCCATTTACCCAGAAATTTGAGTGAACCTTATGTGTGTGTGTGTGTGTGTGTTCTTCGTTCACCTTTGTCTAAAAACCCTTGACTAACACCTTGTGTATTTAGAGTGATTATGAGATATTATGGCACTGTTCATCATCTTCATCCTTAGTCTTTTTTCCATTATTGTTGACCTTCATCTCTAAAGATTGAGTGTTGAGGGAGACTAGAAGTATATTAGGATATCTAATGTTTTTATGGGAAATTTGTTGTTTGTAACAGGTGTAGATATCATTTCTTGAATACCGTTTGGTGTTTGTTGTTATCTATTAAGAATAGAGTTTCCATTATGCTCCAAGGAAGACTTTGGCGAGATTTAGTATCAACGGTCTGTAAGGCGTGGATGGAAGTTGTCCATCTTTGGTGGAGTTGGAGAAAGATTGCTCGAAAACAAAGTTGGCAGTTGTCTAATCAAAGCTTGACTACCGCAATCACTCAGACAAGAGACCAGTGGGATTAGGTGGATCGCCATAAACAAAGACTTAGAACAAAATTATTGTGGATAGAAAAGTTTTTGGATCAAGATCTTTTAGATATATTATTTTTTAGTAGTTGAGTGTCTGCATCAACAAAGGGGAATTTTCGTTTGATAGTCCGTTGTAACCAAAATGATTGTAATCAAACTTATCAAAATAGTGAGAGATCGTGATTATTTTCCACTGGTTCTCAACACCATTGAAGAGTTGAGTAGGCGATGCAAGGACGAATGCCGAACCATTATATATCTTTATGTATTGTTTCTTCTTCCATTATCTCCTTTTATTTTTCTAGCATTAATTATTTTTCTGTTGCATTTATGCATCATTGCATAGATTGTATGTCACATAAATTAGATTTTGCTTATAGAGATTTAATGTATAAGTTTAGGTATGTGGTGTATCAATCTTATTGAAGTATCATGAATCCAATTGTGTCTTTATAAAACATATATGCTAAAAGTTTTGAAATATCCTTGTTTAAAGCTACTTGTGTTGTCTTGTGATTTACTTGCATTACAAGAAATCAAGTACATAGTAAACATCATGTATCATTTCAGGTTTAATTTATTGAGATTCTTCCAAGCTCTCTTGTTTTTGTATTTTGCTTTGGCACTTATTAAAATATCTGATTTTGTACATGAGACCTTAAATGTTTTTTAAATTTACTTAAAGGGAAAAGGGTTTCTTAATTTATTAGTATGCTGCATCACGTTGGTTGACAATGATGTGGATTTGTTTGGTGAAGAGACTGAGGAAGAGAAGAAGGCAACCGAGGAACGGGCAACTGCCGTCAAGGCATCTAGCCAAAAGAAAGAGAGTAAGTTTCTGTTGTTTCATATATACACATAATTATTTGAAATCTGGTTGGACATAAACTTATGCTATTGGTTTTCTACTGATTACGTTTTCAAGTGGAAAATCCATCCCAACACCTGTTACAGTTCTGTAACTCCATTTTCATATTCTTCCAAACTCAAAACCAGAAGCCTACACATTGACTTCTACAAGGAATTTCAGCCACCCTCAACTCAAGCTAAGCACTGCATTAGCTTCGTAGAGGTCCAAGGGAGTTAAGAAGATCATTGCAGCACCTTGAAGCAAGCTCAAACTCAAAACATGAATTTCAGTTTCAAGGTGAGTTTTTTGACTTTTGAACTCTTCATATATGCATCATTTGGTTTCCATTTATGAAGATAAAATGTAGACATCATAGCCTTGAAACTAACCATGTCCTTAGAATTCATTTATATTTCCCGAGTAGTGTGAATTTTAGTTTTGAATTTTCTGAAAAAATTAAGTCAGATTTGGTACCAAGCAAAATTCATATTCATATTTGATCTATTGTTTAAGTTAGTTACGTATTTGGAATTATGGTTAAATTTCAAGTAACTTTCATGTTTACATTTTCCGTTTTGGTTGAGAAATTAAGAAGTTACAAATTTGAACAATGGTGATGAAATTTCTGGCGCGAGGAAGAAGATGAAGTCGTCTTCAGGAACCTGTTTCAAATATATATGTTTGGTTTTATTTATAACACCAGATGTATAGCCACTCTAGTGGTAGAAAGCGCGCGCGTAAGGCTTGGTATTGGGACCTGGGTTTGAGCCCCAGTGGTACCTTTTGTATTTTTCTTGTATTTTTCTTATATTTTTCTTGCAGATTCAGTGCAGCAGACCACACACGCCCATTATGAGGCTTCATCTTACCACCATTAGATCATTGTAAAGGTAAATACAACACATTCCAATACAAGCACATGGTATACCTCAGGAGGGCATACACATTTGATCCAAACAGGCGTTGGATTACTGCCTTAGGCCCAGTCTGAATTGTTGACTCTCACCCCCATTTTACTTTTAATACAGGCTCATTCATATATTTTTTTATTTATTTTTTTGATTATAAAAAAAAAACACCTTTGGGCCTAGCGCCCCTTTTACTATCTTTAACCCCCATTTCCTTTTTTTAACCCTCTGACTTAAAATTTATATTTATATTTTATTTTATTTTATTATTATTTTAATATTATTATTATTATTATTATTATTAATATTATTTCTAATAAAAAATATCAAAAATATTTTATTAAATATTTAGACTAATTATCTTTTATTTTATTTCCATTTTATTTCCTTAAAACCCTAAAAATATTTTCTTAGCTAATTAATTTCTTTTAGAATTAGAATTAAATTAGACTTGGGTTTATTTAATTTTCTTTTTGACTAACTTAGACTTTAGGTTA